ACAAAAGTAACAGTGGTACAGTAGATAATCTGAGGCACTGAGGTCACTGAGTTCTCTGCCTCTCTCCTCTCCCCTCGTTGGACCTTCCATCCCGTCCTCTCCAGGTTGACTCGTGACATGTTGGCATACGAAACATGTCTCTCTGTTTCCCTGCCTCTCATCAGGACCATTTGACACCCAGAAAAGATTTTTCTTTGGCCTGTCTCTCCCTGCTGTCAGTGAAATGTGTCTGCGTGGAGGTGTGATGTGGAGGGCAAGTGAAGGAGCAGTCGATTCCCATACATTAGTTGGGCTTGGTGCTTGGTAGTGTACCTGAGTCTGCAGATTTTTTCCCAAGCTGTTAACGCCGGGCCCCTCCTGCTCTGAGCAGATCAAGGGTAGAAAAGAAAGTTGATTTTAATCCACAAGGGGATTAAGAACCCCATGAGTGATTAAATGAGACTTCTGTCTCAAAAAGGACAAATTACTGTACCACCTCAGACTTGGGAACCGATTTTACAGTGGTCTGTGCTGCAAGTAGATTAGACGTATCTCTGTTTCGATGATCAGTAATCACCTCGCGATCACAGGGGAGGTTGCATATTTCTACTTCTTAGAGTCCTGCCAGGACAATGGACGTGGATTTTGTCTGATGTTGATTATACCTAAGCTATCTTTTCCCAGGAAACGTATAGACCTTCCCACTGAAGCTGGACAAAGAACGAACCATCACCAGCAGTTCAGTAAATGTGTGAACAAATCCTCAACACCAAATCTTCAAAAGTATCCCAAAGCTGGACTGACTCCACCAGGGGTCAGAAACTAAAGAGACATTTTGACCACAAAAAGGGAAGAAAAAATCTGTATGTCAGCATGTGACACACGGCACCTTTATTCCTGGTTAAACCTAGATATGTAGAAAGCCACAGAAATGATCAGGATGTGGTAACTCTGGTGCCAGTAGACGTCTCCTGAGGTATTAACCTTATTAACAGTGCACATACAGTGAAGTAGGTCTGCAACTTTGGTTTTATTATTAAGTGATCTGTTTCCCACGAGTCCAGAGATATTCAGTTTACTCAAATATCCTCTGACTGAAGAAGCTACAGCCACAAACGCTGGGCCCATAAACACTTTTTCCCATAGACTTACATCGGTAAAGAAATGTCTGTAAATCAGTGGATCATTTTTTTGAGCATCATTACCCCCGTAAAACGCTTCCTGGTCTCACTCTAAAGTCCTCGTAACTTGGCCCTCGATCAGTGACTGGTGCTGATGGTTTCAGTAAAATGAACTGAACAATTAAATTGTGGAGAATATAATTAAGCTAACGATGTTTAAACATTTACATCTCTATGTGTGATCTAAGCTAACGAACATTAGCTCCAGTGGGTAACTAACAACCTGTTTTATACATCCAAAGAACTTCTATAAAAATGAACTGCTTGGCAACCAGACCAGGCCTCATTTATAAAAGAGTGCTTAGGATTCATACTAAAAGTTGACGTGCGCCCAAAAGCTGAAAATGGCGTGCACCAAAAAATAATCTGATTTATAAAACCGTGCGCACGCACATTTGCACATAATGTTCTCTTTATAAATCACAGACCTCCTGGAGTTGTGCGCACCCAGATCCGCCTCATATTCCACCCTCTACACGCCCTAGTTCAACCATAAATGGTCATGCAAATCACCTCATGAATGCAATCTGCATATAAATAAGCCGGCATGCGAGTGTTCTGTCGTTGTGAGTCACGGCGACAGGTGTGAGAAACGAACCAAAAAACGGAATTTCTCCGAGACCGAGCTCGAGACCCTTTAACGGGAGGTGGAGGACTGAAGAAAGATTTTATTTGGTGGCCACAGCAGCGGGATCACTAATAAAATAAAGCAAGAAAAGTGGCAACACATCAATGCTGCTGATGCTGTCAGCTGTGTCTGTGGGACTGCATGGACAGTGACATTTTGCACAATTACGCACGAGGGTCACCACAGTATCTATATGTTTATGGCAATTAGTCTGATCAGACTCCCGGCCTGAATTACAGCATGAACCAGTGATATCCCTGTCCCAAAATACAACGTGTAATTTGAAATACAATTCAAAGATGAAAGTGTAATAGGCGAACACGTTTCTTCATGATGATTTCTTCTAAGTAGGGCTGATGAAATGAGTGTAACGGTTGTGCTTAATGGCTGGATTTCAAGACATGATAAATGCACTGGAAATATTTAGCTAAATAAATAAATATATTCCATGCAGTCGCGCCGTCCTCTCCCCCTCCTGCGCTCACAGAGTGGACAATGAGACGTTAGAGGCAGTGCGGATTAAATAAGTATTTAGAAAGAATTTCAATTCAGGATTTGAGTTGGATTTTACAACGTTTTTATGAAACAATTATCACTCACTCCAAGCGCAAAATAAGGCTGCTGGATTTAATTTCAATGATAACGTGGATCTAAGGTGGATATAGTGTGACATTAAATTTGTGTGAGACATCAATAAAAATCTGACTCCACTTCTCCACCTCGCCATCTGCGTTGCCACTTCCCAGTGTCTCCAAAATGTGCGCACGCATGACTCAGAGTTTGCTTACAGGTGCGCTCATTCTCCCACCAAGTTTATTTTTATAAATCACAATCTTTGCGTGGTAAGTGGCGTACGCCACTTTCAAGCCCCGTTTTGTGCGTAAGCAAGCTTTATAAATGAGGCCCCAGGCCTCTAATAGAGACAGACCTTTAACTGTCAAAGTGTGTAGCCACAGCGGGCTGGTAAAGGGGACTTTAGCTCCTTTTACACTGCCAGATTTTCGGCGAATGTTGGACCATTTTGCCGGCCAGCTGCGAGTGTTTAGACACACAGAGCCGGATTGGCAAGTTGATCCGAGGTGCCCAATTTTCCGCCTCGTAGGGTAGACATATTGGTGGAACCCTTTTAGTTTAAACAGACCGAGGCGGCCTTCCACCACGGGAGGGGCTGTTGATGACTTGTGGGAGGAGCTGTTGATGACTTGTGGGAGGAGCTGTTGATGACGCTGCACGTGCGAGCCACTGGCGGTGGATAAACAGGAAACAGCTGATAGCAGGAATTAGCGAGCAGCTAGTAGCAAGAGGGAAACACAAACCTGACAGACACTGTAAAGATGAGCAACTGGGGAGACAAGGAATTGCGCGCCCTCCTTGTCCTCACAAACGAAGAGGCCATTAACCGTCAGATGACGGGGACGGTGAAGAACGGGCCGACTTACAAGAGAATCACCGAAGGACTGACCAGCCGCGGCTTCCCTCCCACGTCACTGTTTACGTCACACGCTGAGCTACACGTTTTGTTACTTGCTCACGCCCCCCATTGCCCCGAAATTGTTTGTTTTTATACTGCCAATGCTGAAAAAAGACTGATTGGGCTTTCCTGCAAATTTGCACAACTCCTATCTAAAACAGGCTATGGAGTTTAATAGGGACGAGGCTTTTAACTGAAGTTTTACTGTATTTATTGTCGGAACGTGACTTGACAAGACTTGACAAACAGCTGAACATTTAGGTGCATTCAAAACAGTTATAATCAAAATAATGTCAATTAATAAAACAATATACAGAAAAAGAAAGTTTAAATCTGATTAGCAGCATGTCAAACTCTTTGGTTCAAACATTTTCTAAGTGGTTTAGCCGACTGTCAACACAAGACACAGACGAGAGAAAAATATCTCAGTAATTTTTGTCCAAATTTTAACCCACAGTATTATGTCTCATATTATAATATCACACAGCTTCCTATACTGACAAAAAAACACTTTCCAGTTGATGTAATTCAGACAGCAGCTAACGGGATTGTAACTCATATGGTTGGTTTGTTCCCACCCATCAGAGGCCTGACAGCAGATGTCTCCATCATAAGTGATATCGAGCTGGTTTGTACTCAGACTCATGTCGTCCTCTCTCCTACACACACACACACACACACACACACACACAGCCTGCTGAGACGTGCTGTTACTCACCACTGTCTGTGTGTCAGCACTCTGCAGACGTTCAGAGGAAACAGCACAGTTTCTTCTGTGTGCTGGCTGATCTGTATCTGTTGAGCGCTGCTGAGGCTCAGGAGCTGAACTGTTTGTGAGAAAACATATTAAATGGAGTTTAGATAACCTTTGGGCTGCGTGGGATGTGCGGGCAATGAGAGAAACTGCTCGGTGAGGCGTGGTCTTTATACTCTTTACACTCTTGGTGCTTTTACAGATAGTTTCCAGTGGATCCTTCTCCATTGATGACCGCAGCAACACGATGAATCCTTAAGTGTCTTATATCCATTCAAATGTCAAATAAGTTATTTGATAACACCTATTTATCAACCAAGCTAAAGTCTTTTTACCCCCCAACTCCCCAATTTCAGGTGCCCATTTGTCCCTGGTGACAGAGTTTGAAGGACCAGAGGTGGAAATCTTCTGCATTTAAGTGAAACATTCTTCAAGACCCTGATGAGTCATCAATAGTCATAGATTATGTTAACCAACCAGGTCTCACTCCAAAGTAATCAAAAATCGGTGCCTGGTCAGTGACTTCTGGTGTCAGACACCCACAAAAAAGCCGTCCTTTCACATGAGCGTGATACGCAGCCGATCACCGTTATTGTTTAACAGCTCCCGGTGGTGTCAGGGGGAAACGCAGCGGGACGGCAATGAAAGTTGAGGCAGTGGACGTCTGAGTAGGGCGGGTCCAACAACCACCAACTTTTACCAGGGAGGTCCGTGTTCACTGCACGTAAGATTGTAAAGCCAAACACTGTTCTGTTTTCCTAAACTCAACCATGTGCGTTTGTTGTTGAAGAAAAAGAGAAGTGTGTTTTGAAAACAGAGTGAAAAAAGTAAAAGTAGCTTCACAAGTTTGTCATAGCTGAGCTGCTACATTTCTCTGGAGACAGCTTCAGTGTAGTGATGTATTGTGATGTAGAGTAACTTCTGTTTTTACCTTTCTTACATCACTACCTTCATCCATCCCTTTCTCTTCTCTCTCCCCTCCCACAGACAGAGAGCTGGTATGGACAACAAGGCGTTGGAACCTGATTCTGTGAGCATCCCCATGGAGGAGGCCATTGTGTGTAACGGAGGCGGCCAGCCTCAGCAGCAGCAGGAAGCGTCCATGTTGACCCACCTGAAGAAGGTTGAGAACCAGATCACGGAGGCACAGCGTTTCTCCCACCTACCCAAACGCTCAGCCGTGGACCTGGACTTCAGCGACCTTTCCTACACCATCCAGGAGGGACCGTGCTGGAGGAGGAGAGGTAGCACACATTATTCTTTACTTTGTAAAGCAGTGAGGAAGTAGACACAAGATCGAGCACTAAGCTCTCTGAGATTCTCCAGTTCTGTGGAGCTCTACTGATGAACAGAATTTGTCCCAAAGATACTTCATTTGGCGTTTTGATGATGTTGATGCAGAGCACGTTCCAGCACATTGCTCTAAAATCTCTCACAAGTGTTCAGTTGTGTCTTCAGGCCCTAAATGGAAGACTCTGTACTGTTCTCCACTTATATACTCAGGTATTTCCTTTACTTCCTGTTTGTCTCTTTTTGAGCATCAAAAGCTGCTTTTACGCTGCCTGTTCAAGGTGGAAATATCGCGCTGTTATAGGTCTCATCGTTTCTTACATAAAGCCCAGTTCAGACCAAAGATCGGCGACAAGATGTTTCAGAACGTTGCAGAGAAAAGTGTCAGTGGTGTGAACTGGCCGGTCTGAGCTGGACTCACGACGGCTGATGGTGTCACCTGACCCCCAGCTGGTCAAATGGCCGGCGGCTGGTTTTAAAGCATGCAGTGGAATGATGTCTTTATAAATAGGACAGCCAACAGGGCAGATCATGAGTGGCACAGGTGTGACGTTTTGACAACACATTGTGTGTGCAACCCATCATGGGAGATTTAAAAAGTAGCTGTTAGCAGCTAACTCCAAGAAGACACAATGAGATTCAGGAGCTCCTTCACCGCTGAGCAGAAGACGAGATCAGGCTGCCAGTTCTCATTCTGAAGTCCTCAAACACTGTAGCTTTGTATGATACACGACCGGGCAGTGTCAGTTCACAACATGGCTGGTAAGAACATAATCCCACAATCCCAAATGGATCCCTTACAGACTCGTTGACTCAAACCCTAAGCCCTCACAGATCTAGGACCAATTCCATTTCTTCCCCTTCATGTGAGGGGAAGTGGTGTCCCAATTCTCCGTCAGGTAAAGAACTAACCTGACGGAGAACTGGGACACCACTTCCCCTCACGTGAATGTGCAAAACCAAGGGGAAGAGTTGTAAAGGGTGAGTGGGAGGGATGGTGGATGGGTCCAACAAACCCCAGACTTTCATCTGGAAGCCCGGTGTTCACTTCCCATGCGAGTGTAGAGCTAAACCATGATGTTTGTTTCTAACCCTAACCACATGCTTTTGTCGACATCCTGGCGTTGGTTGAGGTGTCCCAGAGCATCAACAGCAGATGCAGGTGGGTACCTAGCACGTAAGAATGACAAAGTGGCGATATCTGACAACATGGGATGAGAACGTGTTGGATCAGCTGCCTCATAAAATAGATAGATAGATAGAAGATAAAATAACTCATAAAAATTAAACAGAGCAAATGTTTTGTTCTGTTCACAGTCAGTTGTGTTTTGAATCAGACAGAGACGCTTTCAGGACAAACATGAGGTGAGGAGGGCAGCTCAATGTCAGCCTCGCTCTGTTGCCTCTGCGTGGTGCAGCAGCTACAGTGAGGTGACTGACTGATGCCTCCGGCAGTGAGCACTGAGCTGCTGCTTTAGTTAGTGTTACAAACTCTTATCTTTATCGATCTTTCTCGTTGAGATCATTTTCCTACATAGAGACAGAGGGAGCAGGGCTGATTGTGTTTGACACGCTGCTCTCACCAGGATCCGTCAGTGTCCATGACACACAGAGGATCAATAGGCGCTTCACAGTGGAGTCATGGACAGCAATATACAAATGTAGTAGCTACTCACACGCTACCACTGTGTGTATTTCCATCAATGCAGATCAAAGTCAGTGACCTTTTGAACCCAGGCTTCAGTCTCTGTAGTCTGTGGCAGTAGCTCAGGCTATAGGGAAACTGCATACTTGGTCCAACCCATCTGGACCAAGTATGCAGTGTGGGCTGGTGGTTGGAGAGGTGACAGTTGACCTCCTGGGCGCTGCCAAGGTGCCCCTGCTCAGGGTGCCTGTCCATGGGCTGCCCCCTCACTCTGACACCTCTCCATTTAATGCATGTATAGGTCATGTGTGTGCATGTGTGTGCACTTCAGGCCTGTATAGTAGTATATCCTCTTCTTTTTCTTCTTCATACCACAGCTGGAGGGCACCTGTCGCGGCAGTCTGATATGAGGTTGAAATGCTGCCAGTAACAATGTAAGGAAGCTGGAAAGACAGGGTTGCTCCTGTTTCCTAAACCTAACACATGCTTTGGTTGACGTCCTGGCATTGGTCGCGGCATCCCAGACCAGTCCTACAACAGCGTCAGGTATAGAGGCCTAGCGTGCAACATGTAGATGTGAAGGCCAAAGACAAAGCGTCAATATGCAACGACTCAGGATGAGTTGGATATTAGATGAATGGACAGAATCATATTTAATTTGCAGAGATTCATGGTCACAGTTGTTTGTTTGTTGTAAGCTAAGCGATGACATCAACATCACGGCATTATCTTGAGTTTAGAGCTTCACCAGAGGGCCTGAAATGTAAAGGTCGTCCTGGTGATCACATGGTGGGCTCATGGTGGTGGTGCTGGAAACAAAAGGAGGTCACCGGACATTACTTGTGACTGTTTCATCTGCGATGTGAGAGTCTGTGTCTGATGTCTCCCTTTGAAGAGGACAGGGACGCAGCTGTGTGCTACTCTTTATCAAAGGTGGGCACACTGAGCAGACGCACATTCGCCAAACCAGTCACCTCCATCTGTGAAGTCTTTTCTCCTGTGTAGAGACCTGAGTGCAGACCTGTGACGCTGAGCTGGATGCTGTGAACCAGCCGGACTTTATCTATGAGTCTGATGTTAAGTGTGTACTGTCTGCATGTGTCTGAGTGCGTCCTCCGAGGCTTCCTGTAAGTGCTGCAGCGTCTGAGAATGATGAGGTCATCAATAATGGAGCTGAGTGGGTGAGCTGGAGGACAGAGGAGAGGTAGGGTGAAAGTGAGGGGAAGTGAAGTGACGTAGGGTCAAAGCAGGGGAAGTGAAGTGACGTAGGGTCAAAAGAGGGGAATGAAATGATGTAGTGTGAAAATGAGTGGACGTAAAGTGAGGTGGGGTGAAGTGAGGTAGGGTGAAAGTGAGGGGAAGTGAAGTGAAGTAGGGTGAAATAGAGGGGAAGTGAAGTCGGGTAGGGTGAAAGTGAGGGGAAGTGAAGTGAGGTAGGGTGAAAGTGAGGGGAAGTGAAGTGAGGTAGGGTGAAAGTCAGGGGAAGTGAAGTGAGGTAGGGTGAAAGTGAGGTGAAGTGAACTGAAGTAGGGTGAAAGTGAGGGGAATGAAATGATGTAGTGTGAATATGAGTGGACGTAAAGTGAGGTGGGGTGAAAGTGAGGGGAAGTGAAGTGAGGTAGGGTGAAAGTGAGGGGAAGTGAAGTCGGGTAGGGTGAGAGTCAGGGGAAGTGAAGTGAGGTAGGGTGAGAGTCAGGGGAAGTGAAGTGAGGTAGGGTGAGAGTGAGGGGAAGTGAAGTGAGGTAGGGTGAAAGTGAGGGGAAGTGAAGTGAGGTAGGGTGAAAGTCAGGGGAAGTGAAGTGAGGTAGGGTGAAAGTGAGGGGAAGTGAAGTGAAGTAGGGTGAAAGTGAGGGGAATGAAATGATGTAGTGTGAATATGAGTGGACGTAAAGTGAGGTGGGGTGAAAGTGAGGGGAAGTGAAGTGAGGTAGGGTGAAAGTGAGGGGAAGTGAAGTGAGGTAGGGTGAGAGTGAGGGGAAGTGAAGTGAGGTAGGGTGAAAGTGAGGGGAAGTGAAGTGAGGTAGGGTGAAAGTGAGGGGAAGTGAAGTGAGGTAGGGTGAAAGTGAGGGGAAGTGAAGTGAGGTAGGGTGAAAGTGAGGGGAAGTGAAGTGAGGTAGGGTGAAAGTGAGGTGAAGTGAACTGAAGTAGGGTGAAAGTGAGGGGAAGTGAAGTGACGTAGGGTCAAAAGAGGGGAATGAAATGATGTAGTGTGAAAATGAGTGGACGTAAAGTGAGGTGGGGTGAAAGTGAGGGGAAGTGAAGTGAGGTAGGGTGAGAATCAGGGGAAGTGAAGTGAGGTAGGCTGAAAGTGAGGGGAAATGAAGTGAGGTAGGGTGAAAGTGAGGGGAAGTGAAGTGAGGTAGGGTGAAAATGAAAGGAAGTGAAGTGAGGTACGGTGAGAAGCAGGGGAAGTGAAGTGAAAGTTAGGTGGGGTGAAAAAGAGGTTATGTGAAGTGAGGTAGGATAAATGGGAGAGAGGTGAAGTAAGGTAGGGTGAAAGGAGTGGAGGTGAAGGTATGGGAGGAGTGTGTGCCAGCAAACATAATTCCTTTCAACCTTTACAGAAACTGCAGGTAAACACTTGTGATTGATGAGCTTCAATAGCTCCACAGCACGGCACCGTAAATTCCTCTGTGTGTGTTTGCACAGTCACCGCAGTGTGTAAATGAAGCAGCAATGAGTTTCACAATAGAGCTGTGGCTGTGGAGGCAGGTCTGGATGCTCTGCGCAGCATTAACAAAACATCAGTGCAATGATTTCTTGGAAATGTGACAAATATCATGTTTAAATGTTCTTTCTCACAAAGTGGAGCAACTCTTACAGGTCTCTACAAACTCAGTAATTATGTTTTATTATCTAAGACAAGAGTCGACTGTTAACCAAAACATAGATGTGAGATGACGGAACAGAGTGTATAGCTTGCAGCTACATATATATATATATACACATAGACGTGAGAGTGTGGGGAGAGACCTTCACAGCGGCAGGTGCTCCAAGTTAAAATAACCTGGTCTGACTCCAAAGTAATCAAAATCAAGCGCCATTAATGTTCAAGAGCGCGGCGTCAGAGGGAAACACGGCGGGAAAACAACAAAAGTTAAGGTGGTGGAAGTCCGAGTAGAGCTGGCAGGAGGGGTGGTGGAGGGTCCAGCAACCACTGACTTAAAGCCAAACCCTGTTCTTCTTTCCTAGACCCAACCACGTGTGTGTGTTGTTGAAGGAAAAAAACATCAGTCGGAGGTGCTTTTATTTTGAAAGAGACTGTATGCAAACTGTACATTTCCTGTGAAAACAGAAGTGTAATTTGAAAACAGACAATACATGTAACAGGCTGAAGATGACACGACGTCCCAGAACGTCAACAACCAACACACCCAGGGTACCTTGGACGACATATGTGGAAGTGGAAAGTCCATGACCAAACGTGGACATGTGACGAGGTCACAGTGAGGACGTGATGGTTGTTTTTTGGGCCATGTTACCAACTGACTCCGCCGGCGGCGTGTCATACTGCTGCAAAAGGTGGCTTTTGCTGTTCATGCGTGACACATGAAGCAGCTGTATTTGACGACTTCAGAATGAGAATGGCTGGCATGTGTGTAAAGGGAAGTGGGTGCACATTGAACCCATTTTCATTCACATATTATGAGCGGAGAGGTCAGGGGATCCTCTTCCTGATTGGCACCAGTGCATTCATCAGGTCGTCTTATTTCATATGATATCAGTATCTTCACTCTAACTTTAAGAATCAGACCACCACAGCCGGTGAAAGTCATGTCGTCCCTGCAGAGTGACAGAGGTTGAAGACAAAGGGCGCTGCCTGCTGATGATGGATCGGCTCTTTTAGCATCGACTGTTTGATGTGACCGCCCGGAGGCCTATTTTAAGAATGACATTTAATTTGTGACGGAACAGGTAGGACGGTCGTCTTTGACCAACTCCTGGACTTCTAGTTCCAACAAGACAAAGTGTAGTTGTTGTTGTGTTTCCTGCAGCACAGCACAGAGGCACAGAGGTTGCAGTGTGTTGTTGAGAGATGACGCAGGTGAGTGCTGAGGGTTAATGCTGTTAGACTCAAGTGCAGCATTTGATACTGTGCAGTGTAGGAGCCGTACTCAGGCTAAAGCTGTGGGTCAGGAAATGATTCTTGTCTTGTCTGACTGAGTGGAATCAGGCGTGTCAGGGGCTTTCAGAGGAGCAGAGGTGATCTACCATGAAACGATAAAGTTGATTTTGACAGCGTGAGGTATAAATTTGTGCTCATGTGTTTGGGGGTGTCCGGATGACGCAGCAGGTCAGTGGTGTAAGGTGGTTATGATGGGCCCCAGTGCACATTACTATGACAGGCCTGATCGTGCACACTATCGTGCACATATCGTCTCGTCACACGATCAGAGACTTGACATTGGATAAATTTAACATACATGTTACCCCGCAGTGCCGTGCACAGACCTTTTGCAGGGCTGTGCTCAAGTGAAAGAAAAGGCAACCCTTCCACAAAAAGTTTTTACATGCAGACATTTTTTTTTTTGTTCACTTTCAAAACACGCCCTGCCAAGAGGTTTAGTGATCTATAAAGTAAATAACATCACAATAAACAAATCTTTTCACAACATTAGAAAACTCTGTTCTCTGAATAAAGAGATGTTAAAGACATGTAAAACAGATGTAAAACATGCTGAGGTTTGGTTTATTAAGACACATGGAAAGCAATTCAACATCTGCTTCTGCTCGCCACAGGCAGGCGGTCAACTCTGACGGAGAGCTGGAGGGAGACGTTGTGATTTTACACCAGACTAGTTTACTTGTTGTTAAACCTAACGGTGGGTTATTGCCTAAATTAGTCTGGCTATATGAGATGTTTTAATTCCAGATTAATTGAACAACTGTGACAAACAGTGCTGAGGCTGAGGGCAAACACCATCACTACCTGTCTGTCCATGAGCAGGTCAGGGAGACGCGACGTGACGCTGCTCTGCAGGGCGCTCGGCTTGTGCTCATTAACTGTGGTGGCTCTGATGGGACGTTGGAGAGGGAGGGGCTCAACTCAGATGTAGTTGTTGTGTTAAATATACATTTTATTTCCTCAGTGGTCACATCTGTGTATTTGACCCGTTTGTTTTTAGAAGCACTAAATGAATTAGGTTTGTACATATTTTTTTACGCCTCTGCACCGATAGCCCGGCTGTTGGCGTTATGTTTCCTGGTTGTCTTTTGTACGCCTTTCCCATTCTCATGAACCCGATATCTCAACAACAATTTTTACAAATCTGGCGCAAACATCCACCAATTGGCCAATTAGAATTAGGTGGTCAAAGATCAAAGTTAAATGTCGCTCTGATCTTACTGTACATCCGTCTCATTCTCGTGAACTTGATATCTCAAGAACACCTCAAGGGATTTTTTTCCTAATTTGGCACAAACATCCACTTTGAGATAAGGACAAACTAATCAGAATTTGGTCATCAAAGGTCAAAGTTTAAGGTCACTGTGACCTTGCATTTGTCTCATTCTTGTAAAAGTGATATCTCAAGAATACCCTTGGAGATTTTTTTGAATTTGGCACAAACATCCACTTTGGGCTAAGGATGAACTAATCAGAATTTGGTGGTCAAAGGTCAGTGTCACTGTGACCTTGCATCATATGATATAGATACAAATAAAGATAGAGATAGAGACAGACATGCTGAAACGGCCAGTGCCTCCGTTGTTGTTCCCAGGTTTCAAAGCCTTACTGAAGTGCCTTTCTGGAAGGTTCTGCAGTCGGGAGCTGATAGGAATTATGGGGCCCTCAGGGGCCGGGAAGTCCACCTTAATGAACATCCTGGCTGGATACAGGTGAGAAAATTCCCTTTTGCTTTACAGCTTAAGGAAAAGGTTTAAAATTTCATCCTCAGTTTTATGAGACAAAGTTCAGATTTATCAAGAAAAGCTTTTTATGGACAAACAACCAAACACAGCACAGTTAGAGAAATGAGCTTCATCACAGGCACTCATGGCACACTGCAATATAGAGATCAAAGCTTTACATAACTGTGTGTGTTCTCCCCCCGCCCAGGGAAACAGGGATGAAGGGTCAGATCCTGGTAAATGGGAAACCCAGGGACCTGAGGACGTTCAGGAAAATGTCCTGCTACATCATGCAGGAAGACATGCTACTGCCACACCTCACTGCACGAGAGGCCATGATGGTGAGCTGTTACTGACAGTGCTCGTAGCACAGCCAGGAAAATCTGAAGTCATCCTCAAAGTGTGCTTTTATTTCAAAACTCTGTGGTGACAGTGATAATACTTCTGAACCCGTGATGACACGGTTGATAGTTAGTGTGGCGGCGTGCTGCAGGGATCGGCCTCTGAGACCGACACAGATCTGTGCTGCTGTTAAAGATATGCTGCATTACATGGTTATGACACACGTGTTCACTCTCTGCTGCAGGTTTCAGCCAACTTAAAGCTGAGTGAAACTATGGACGTGAAGAAAGAACTGGTGAGATGAACATCTACTATTTTAACACACACAGGAAAATGTGTCAACAATAATACGTCCTCTTAAATAAACTGAAGCCTGACCTGAAACACACAAGTCATATCTAAACCTCACCAGCTGATCACAGTTAATATGGAGACATGAAACATGCTGCACACTTGGCTCTTTAAGCTGTTGTCAAATACCTGACATGTCTGAGGTGACATGATGTACCTATTCAGATATGAAATAAATAATAAAATAAATAGCTGATAGGAAATGTTATCTGTACACGCTGACATGCAAACCAGAGCTGTCACCACAGTTAAAGGTGAAGTGTGTTCGAGTTAGGGGGATTTGGAGGCGTCTGTCAGTGAGGACTGCAGATTACAACCAGCTGAAACTTCTCCTGGTTAGAATTCCTTCAGTGTTCATAGTTCAGGAGCTGAATGATCCACACAGGTCTCTTCCTCTCAGAAACAAACAGAACCAGTGATTTAAACTGGTAAAAACACTGACTGAAGTAGTTTAACGTTACAAGTAAGGTTCCTCTCACACTGAGCACCGTCGCTGCATCCTGTGCTTAGCGCCACTGTACATGATTGTGACTGGTTTAAAGGAACCAAAACAAAGCCAGGACTGGTTATGAATCTCCTCCTCTGTTTCACTTTCTCTGTTCAGGTGAATGAGATTCTGACTGCGTTAGGGCTCCTCGACTGTGCTCACACTCGTACCAGCTCACTGTCCGGTGGTCAGTGTAAACGGCTGGCCATCGCCCTCGAACTGGTCAACAATCCTCCAGTCATGTTCTTTGATGAGCCCACCAGGTGAGACACACAGATGCTGCCGAGCTGATGATGGTTGAATGTTAACTTTAAAAGTATTTATTACATTTTAAGTGTTTGTAACGCACTTCCTTAAGATAGATAAGCATTAATGGAAAGGCTTTGACCCTCGCCATAGCAAGTCAATGGGCTGCTTCTGTGTAACTGTGTCCCAACTGGGACTGAAATCCAATACAAACTTCTGATGTGTTTTTCTACTTGTTTTATTGGGGTGCAAGTTCGTTAGTTTATCCACAAACTGTCCATGTGAACATCAGGACTGAAAATTTGAATTCAATTGTTGTCTTTTTTCGCACCTGTCAAACATGACGTGCTGTGCCACGGTGGCACCAGTGTGCTTTCAGCTTATGCAGGTGGATAACAGTTTAAGTATCTGAGGTGAAAGTAGCAGGACTGACTTGACGTGTTTATTGAATTCCTGCTGAGAGTCAAAATTGACTGTTTAGCAAAATATTTTCTATCTGTGGCCGATGACCCAAGGTGTTAGATGTATGTTCTTGAGACCTGATCTGGGGCACAAACCAGAACTTTGGTTTTACTGGGATTTAATTAAAGATAATATTGACACATACAGTTACTGATGTCGTCTAGACACTTGTACAGAATAGGTAGATGTGAGAGGTCAGCAGGCTTAACAGAAAGGTAAAGGTGTGTATCATCAGCGTAGCAATAGAATAACATACTACCAAATAGACAGATTAAGTGCCTTAAGTAGAGCATGTAATGAAAATAAAATGGGCCCAACAACTGACCCCTGAGGCACCCCTCAGGTTCAAAGAGCACAGGTGGATACCTTGTCATCAGCAGACACCAGGAGGAAAGTCCGGTTGGATGAATAAGGAAAACCAGCTCAGTGCTACACCAGTTACCCCAACCCATTTTTTCAGCTGATCAATCAGAATAGCGTGATCAGTCGTGTCAAAGGCCGTGGACAAATCTAAGAGAACTAAATTGGCAATTTCACCTTGGTCTGCATTAGCATATCGTTTGTGACCCTCAGCAGAGCCGAGCTGATGGAAGTCACATTGGTGTTTGTCAAATATCAATACAAAAAATCTTGGATGTAGAAGGAAACTTAGAAACAGGTCTACAGTTCATAGATGTGGTTTGTAGAAAAGCAAACATCTCTTGGCAAATGCAGTTTCAGTTGGTCCAGACAGCACATCTGGCTGCGTATTTATAATGAGTCTTGTGACAGCTGGACATATGGTGTTGGATCGACTCTTGAATCCCGAACAATTAAACTTTTAATTACAGTGGTGCCATCTGACAGGTGTGAGCTGTTGGACGCTCTGGGACCCTCAGTCTCTGACAAATGAACCTTTGCGGAGAAGGATAGATAAAACAATCCCGAGAAAGTTCGCTGATGAATCCCTGATAATGACTGAAGTAATCCTCAACAAGATATCAACCACCCTCACTGTATCGTCACAGGTTTTCTGTAGTTAATTAACTCAGGTATTTTTACTTCTAAGCAACTAATGGGAACAACAATCTTTGAAACTGGTCCAGTAACGAGCCAGAGCCCTGTAGCCAGCAACGGCCGAAGTGCACATTTCAAATAACTTATGGAATTTCAATAAATATTTTGTGTCTACATCTAAAAATTTTCATATCGGTATGTTTTGTGTTTTAATTTTGTAAAAGCTGTTGAAAAAACATGCCCTTTTTTTGACAACACAATTTAAAGACTTTTGTCAATTATTCTGGTTCATTGACTCACATAACCTTTAAGCTCAGGTGGAAGAGATTTCAGAGAAATGAAGCATTTGAAGATGTTCCAAGAAATGACGTCAGAATAAGCAAAAATACCACTGTAGGCCCTGGAGGACCGTTTCTGGAGTTGGACACACCTTAACCCTTTGAAACTTGGAGTGACATCACTTTCCTTGTCCTGCTTTCAGACACCTTTTACAAGTATTTAAACCTTTGATCCCTGAGCAAATTGGTTTGATTTCTTTTCTGTTTTTTTTAATTAGCAATTGGCAATTTGGCACAACGTCCTCCAAATTGCAGGAAATTATTGAAGTGACAAAACGTCATTAAACACTCCCACCACCAGACTCATGAGCAGCTTCTTTCCTGAAGTCATTCACACTCTTAATCAACACACGACATGAACAGTCATAGTCTCTCAACAACAACTCTCTCACTGTTTTTATTTCTACATCTCAATAACGACAGCAGACTGGGCGATTCGCTGACTCTGGCACTGCAAAGCTACCTCATTTATATAATGTGCAGTGTGTTCAGTGTTTGTAATATTGTATGTAATATTAACTCTTACGCACCAACCAGGAGTGGCACTCCACATTTTGTTGTATCCTGTAAACACAATGACAGTAGCACCCTGTATGTGTCTGTCTCTGTTCAGTGGCCTGGACAGCGCGTCGTGCTACCAGGTGGTCTCGCTAATGCGCTCTCTGGCACTGGGAGGACGGACCATCATCTGCACCATCCACCAGCCGAGTGCCAAACTGTTTGAGATGTTTGACAAGGTAAGTCTGTCAGGACATGAGGAGCTGAGTGGATGGAAGTTGGCACAGACTCTTTCAGTTGGAAATGTTTTTCCCTTAAATTGTTTTGTTCCTCCGCAGCTTTACATTCTCAGTCAGGGACAGTGCATCTACAAAGGCACAGTCCATTACCTCATCCCCTATCTGAAGACTCTGGGCCTTCACTGTCCCACCTACCACAACCCTGCAGACTTCAGTATGTCCGCTCCTCATTCATTCATAGATGTGTGAGAATGATTTCTGATTCCTTCATGATCTGTGTCTCTGTTCTCTGATGTTTCCTTCAGTCATCGAAGTGGCATCAGGAGAGTATGGAGACTTGAACCCGGTGCTGTTTGAAGCCGTCCAAGGAGGAATGTGTGCGTTAGAGGAGAAGAAGAACCAGTGTGATACCAACGGGCAGGCGGTCTGTGCAGCAAAGTTCCCCATGGTGCGTAAAAAACTTTATTCATACAGCACTTAGGAAGAAGATGAACTGATCTCCAAAAGGCAAAAAAAGTTAAAGACAATATTTTAAGCAATTACTGACCATATTCTTCTACTGACTTAACTACTCACAGTAAACAAAATTTTGACCAGGGGTGCCCAAACCTTTGCACGCCACTGTACAAAAAAAGAAAAAGAAATGGCAGGCCAAGTCCTTCCAAAATTACATCCCGTATGGTCAACTACAGACTCCATGTCCTATTTCTATATATTCTCACTGTATTAACCGTTATTATAAACTGTGCATAACACGATCAAACATGACTCCGTGTCATCTTTATGCACAACGTTGTCAACATCTCAGCATGTCTTTTAGTCTGTTAACGTGGCGCTGACAGCAGGACGTTGTGTTGTGCTGCACTGTCATGATGTGGGTCCAGCACTCAGCACTTTTTCTTGCACTTTAGACGTCTCTGTATGTTTCTGTGTTGTGATTGTTAAATGTAGTCCATGTCTGTTTTATGTGATTGAACTGTCCCTGTGATTATGTTTTTATCTTGTCCTGTGAAGCAATGAAATGTAGCACTGTGCCCAAGATGAATTTCTCTTAGGGGACAATAAAGTTTACCTTACCTTATAATCATGGACACATATTTAAATGTTTCAGGATTATCTGCTCCTTTTTCCTCAGGACACCGGACACATAGAGAGCCATACTTTTGCCACAAGCACGCTAACACAGTTCTGTATCCTCTTCAAGAGAACCTTCATCACTATATGTCGAGACCAGGTGAGAACATTAAATACAGATATTTCAGCTGTGCATGAAAAAGTCCCGTTCTATACCTCAAAATAAAGTTACCTACAACACTTTGTCCTGCTCCTGTTGTGTCCTCAGGTGTTGACCCACCTCAGACTGATATCCCACATCGCTATCGGTGTGTTGATAGGTTTGCTCTATCTGAACATCGGCAATGACGCCAGCAAGGTCTTCAACAACACCGGCTTCCTGTTCTTCTCCATGCTCTTCCTCATGTTTGGAGCGCTCATGCCGACCGTGTTAACCTGTGAGTCTGACCGGGGAACGTTCACAATGCACAAGGACAGCAAGGTCAATATGTTGTGAAGTGACAGATGTGTGTGAATGTCTTTGTGCCCTCTGTTAGTTCCTCTGGAGATGTCTGTGTTCCTCAGGGAGCATCTGAACTACTGGTACAGTCTGAAGGCGTACTACCTGGCCAAGACCATGGCTGACATCCCCTTCCAGGTGAGCTGGCAGTGTCGGGCTGGTGGGCTGGATGTGTTTCACACAGCTCAACACAACTACACAGTACAGTGCTGCACTCTAGTGGTGCTTGATGGTACTGCCTGGTTGTCAAGTTATAAATTGGAAGATTACATTTTAGGAGAAAAACACTTACTCCTTCATACATTTTAAATACATACAGTGTTGTTTGTGATTGGGCTGAGATGGAAGATCCAGGCCAGAGTTTTATTTTGGGGTGAACTCTTAACGAAGCAAAGGTTAATGAAGTCGTTATTCCAGGTGATCTGCCCCATCATGTACTGCAGCATCGTGTACTGGATGACAGAGCAGCCTCCTGAAGCCACCCGCTACCTGCTCTTCATAGCCCTGTCCACCTGCACTGCCCTGGTAGCCCAGTCCCTAGGCCTCCTGGTCGGGGCTGCCTCCACCTCACTACAGGTACTGCATGTTTGCATCATTGGATATCAGACACCACGGCTCATGTTGTACATATGAGACAGAAACGTGTCCTCTGCATCCTGATACAGGTCGCCACGTTTGTTGGTCCTGTCACAGCCATCCCAGTGCTGCTGTTCTCAGGATTCTTTGTGAACTTTGACACCATCCCCAAGTATCTGCAGTGGAGCTCCTATGTGTCGTACGTAAGGTGTGTACCACAGTCAGGAGGTTTTGTTAGTGTTTGGATGTAGGGATCCAGATGTTGGTCAGCTGGTGTGGCCACAGAAATATTTCACACTCCCAGGTCCGTGCCAGTTTCCTGTGGCACATCTGGCACTTGAGTTTTTGGGCAGATACTGAAAGTGTCCCAGTCGCTTGGGTCATTTTTTGGACACACTGCGGACATTGTAGCCGACAGATGACTCTAGTAGACTTGAAGAATTTGCAGTTTTGTTTAAACTTTGAGTCATTCTGACTCAGAATCAAGACATGAGTATTTGTGTCTCTCCCACAGGTATGGCTTTGAAGGGGTGATCCTGTCCATCTACGGAATGAACCGCTCAGAGCTGGAGTGTCCGGGGAAGGTGTGTAAGTTCCAAAAGCCTGAAGAGGTTCTGCAGTTACTGGATGTCGAGGATGCAAAGCTCTACTTAGATTTTATCGTCCTGGGCATTTTCTTCATCATCCTACGGCTGGCCACCTACCTTGTCCTTCGCTACAAGGTCAAGTCTGAGCGATAGGTTTCGCTTGGCTCACCGTCTAAATCTCAAGGCCCTCCTTGACATCATCCCAGACCTGGTCTCCTTTCTGTGCACAGACAACAACCTCTCATGTGGGAATTTGTTTTATTTCATTGTACGCATTGCTGCTAAAAGGACAGAACATAAATTCTGATCTGTTCGACTGCCAGCCGTGCAGTGACTGATGACGCAGAGCAGGGAAGAGTCATCCTATAAATCCACATATACTTGTTTTACCTCGGACATCAGGACTTTACTCCTGTGCACGAAGCCAGGTCAGCAGTGAAGAGGGCGAAGAGACTGAGCCACATTCAGCAGCTTATCCCGTACGTCTGATATTCCTGCAAGGCAGAAATGTTTTGAGAACAAGGTAGATGTGATACATCAGCACTTATTGGTGGGGACATGATGTTTGTTCAACACTGTGTGCTGCCATTCTGTCTGTCAGCGCGGGAGTGTTCGGATTTATGGTCCAAAAAAACCTGCCCCCCTTTGAGAGAAGCAAATACAAACAGAGTGTTTGCATCACTCTGTTGATCCTAAACCCTGACAACAAATGGTTTCACTGCAGTATACAGTGGCTGCAAAGGTTTGGGCTCCCCTGGTCACAATTTAGTTTACTGTGAATAGTTAAGTGAGTAGAAGATGAACTGATCTCTGAAAGACAGGAAGTTAAAGAGGAAACTTTTCAACATTTTAAGCAAGATCAGTGTTTCAATTTTGTTTTGTACAATTTTAGAGTGAAAAGTAAATGAAAGCAGCAACATGCAAAAGTTTGGGCACTCCGAGACATCTGAGCTCTCAGACAACTTCTCCCAGGGTCTCAGAGCTTAATGAGCTTGTTAGGGCTCTGGCTTGTTCACAGTCATCGTTAGCAAAGGCCAGATGATGCTCATTTCAAAGCTTTATAAAGACTCTGACTCCTGAAAGCTTGTCCCAACAATCAGCAGCCATGGGCTCCTCTAAACAGCTGCCTAGCACTCTGAACACTAAAAGACCTGATGAAGACTAGAAGAAGATAGCAAAGTGTTTTCAGGGAGCTGTTTCCTCAGTTGGTCATGTCAGTAAGAAATGGCAGTTAACAGGAACTGTGGAGGTCAAGCTGAAAACTCTCTGAGAGAGCTGCTCGTAGGATTGTTAGAAAGGCAAATCAAACCTCTGTTTGACTGCAAAAGACCTGCAGGAAGATTTCTACAGACAATGAGCAAAGGTATGTTTGGAGAACAAACTGTTAAACACGGGGGTGGATGGATGATGCTTTGGGCTTGTGTTGCAGCCAGTGGCACAGGGAACATTTCACAGGTAGAGGGAAGAATGGGTTCAGTTAAATTCCAGACATCACAGCATCTGTAAAAAAGCTGCAGATGAAGAGAGGATGGCTTCTACAACAGGACAATGATCCTAAACACACCTCCAGAAGTGTTTAGAAGCTGTGGTACCTGCCAAAGGGGGCGCTACTGAGCACTGACCATGCAGGGTGCCCAAACTTTGGCTTCAGGCAAATTCAGAAAAAAGTAATGTTGCTTAAAATATTGAAGAAATGTTTCATCTCCAGCTTCATGTCCTCTGGAGATCAGTCCATCGTCTTCTCACTGAACTACTCACAGTAAATTAAAGTTAAAGTCCAGCGGGGCCCAAACCTTTGCAGCCACTGTCGTGTAATGTTCCTGGAACAGTGAACACTGGAAGACAGCAGTCTGCTTGAGCTCGTCTCTGCTCTATATTCTTGTCGTATGACAGAAGTTGACAGTTTGGAGTCCCACATTTATTTCCTGTGTATGAAAATAAAATCATTGTTGGAGCTAGATTGTTTTTAACATGTTAATAGTTGTTGATTAAGCTTTATCATGATTGTCGACCAAAAATTAATATTTTTTGTACCTCGATGATGTAATCTGAAATCTTAAAGAGTTGCTCAGCCTTAATCACTTTATACTGTACTGTATTATCTTCATTCACAGTTATGTAGACGTATTTAAGCCAAAAAGATGAATTACTATCGTTATTATTTTGTGTCCACACTGCAGCCTGTCATGTCACATGGACACAACATGCTCTTGCAGTCATGTTTGGTGCTATCTGAAGTTTCATGTTTTATTTGAATAGCATGTTTTAGAAAATGCATCTGGACTGCACGTGACACGAGAGCAGAGCCCAGGAGGGACATGAAGGGGAACAAATCTAATTTTAAGCTAATATTTAACTCAAACCCACTGACAAAAAAATCACGTATAGAAGCAAGTTGTCCTCGAACTCTGTGATGTTGGATGAGATGGTTTAAGAGAATAAGATTTAAAGTTAACAGGCTGTTCATGGTTAACATCATGTGTGTGGTGTGTACCAGGGATGAGTGAGTACATCATCTCTGTCTGTACTTGAAATGGGCGGAGTTTATGCCATGAGTGGGTGGGGCCTAATCAAAAGTTATTTTAAGCCTGAAATTTATGTTCATTATTTATATATATTATTATTGATTATATTGATAAGTTGAGAGCATACGGGTCGGCCAGTCTGGTCCCGTTGGTCAGTGTTTACTTATTCAAGTAACACTGGCGGTCCCGGAGAGTGAGTGACCTGACATGGTGCGTTGGTAAATTCAGTCTGACGCTCCAGTTTGTGTCAGAGTGCGCTCCCACACTCACAATGAGTGTTTCTGAACGCACCACTCACATCATCTTCCTCCATTGTCTAAAACAAGACAACACAACTTGTTAGCTAGTGCTAGCTAATGTCTGTGGAGAACTGTTTGGCCTCCAGCTAAGCCCCGCCCACCAACAAACATCACGCAGTTTTCATTACCTAAGTGGAAAGTATTTGCAGAACAGCTGCAGAACTCATACTCAAGAAAAGTAATAATGCAGTCTAATTCTTTAGATGTCTAACCCTTTAAAAGTGCCTCACAAACAGCCTCTCTGCTGTAACTCCACTGTGCATGTGTTGAGAGGCTCCACAGTCCGCCAGTGCTATAAAAAAATAATGACGCAACTCTCTATGCAAAGGCTCTGGGAGCAGCATGCAACACATTATTTTCAGTGGCTGACACAAAATGTGTTATTGTGCTCTCTACACATTAGTTGTGTCAGGACACATCACGTCTGTATTCAGAGTGTCCACACTCCTTAGCTCCGCCTCCGCCTCAAGTCATCAGACAAATAAGTACATTTAATTTCATTTGGAAAAACAAACATCATTTGCTCAAAACCTCTGAGGAGGAACGTGGGATACCAGCAGCTGGCTTTGAACTTATGGATGGTGTATTAAAATGAAATGGCTTCATTGTTGTTTAGAGAAAGGTGAGGAGCTGTGGTTCTCACTACGTTCAGTTCAGTTCAGTTTGAGCTTTGAGTTTCTATTAAAATGTGATCATGAATTATCCAAACTGCCCGTACAAACAACTCTCTGCCTCCCGCCAACAAGTCGTCACATGGAATTAAAAGGTTCATCTGATTCATATGTTCTTATTCTGTGACAACTTACTTACTTTTTTTTTTTTTTTTTTTTTTTGAGTTATATGCATTTTTGGACATTTTATTTAGAAAAAAAAAACGTCCTCACTGTGACCTCGTCACATGTCCACGTTTGGTCATGGACTTTCCACGTCCACATATGATGTCCAAGGTACCCTGGGTGTGTTGGTTGTTGACGTTCTGGGACGCCGTGTCAACTTCAGCCTGTTACATGCATTGTCTGTTTTCAAAATACACTTCTGTTTTCACAGGAAATGCATACAGTCTCTTTCAAAATAAAAGCACTACGTCAGTACAACACCACCAACTGATGTTTTTTTTCCTTCAACAACACACACATGTGATATGTTTGACCAACACACACACATTGTTGGGTTTAGGAGACAAAATGTAACTTACCATAGTAACCGACCCTGGGTCTGTTACCATGGTAACTGACCCTGTGAACCTAACCTGCTTGCTGGCAGGTTGTCTTCATCACAGCCTGAGTTTCTGGGTGTGGTCCTGATCACATACATTTTCTCTTCATTGTTAGCATGTACTGCAGCTGCCCTTAAAAAGTGTGTACTGTTGCATGCACTGATCGCACACAATCAGGACAGACTACTGTCTCATTACATCACACCCTGAACTTTGACCCCTTCCAGGTGTACTGTGCGTCAGAATCTAAATCCTGGTTGGATATGAGTAAGTTATTCAGGACTATCTAAGTGTAACCATGTAAGTGTTCACACAGCATCCAGTCAGCCCTAATCTCTGTTTGTGCTTGACCATCGTCAGACGAGAGCTGATGGGTTCTGAGACTGAGACACCTCCAGCTCAGAGTCAACGCTTCGTCTGTCCTTCTGTCTGAGAGAGGAGGTGTTTTACACAGGAAACACTGTGACTCTGTGCACCACACAGCTGGCAGTGTGTTGGAGCAGTGAAATAATAAAATAAATTGATCTGAAAAATAACATTTGATCACTATGGTTTAAAGTGTCAAACAGGTCGTCCACACGCTCTGTCACTCTTGATGAGACTGGTCCCATCACTGAAGTGTAGCCTGTATGTTCCTCATCGTGTGTGTTGAGGCAGCTGTCATGGAGCCGCTGAGTGCTGCTGAGCCAGAGATGTTCAGCTCAGCGTCAGGGCTTTTAAATCATCCTTGAGCGCCTCCTTGTGGACACAAATAAAACAGCCTGGCTCAGCAGGTTCACTTCTGTCTTGTACACCACCACGCCCAAACTACATGACTCATCTTCATGTTGCCATGTGCTGCTCTAATGTCTTAATGCTGAGGGAAGACACAGTTATCATGGCCATGTCAACAAAGAGTCTGACTGAGGAACTGAGATATTTGGAGGAACACTGTGATGAATGTGGCCGACTAACTAAACTAAACTAAACCAACTGAAAACACTGACTAGGAGGAGGAGTTTAGTGGCAGTTGTCGCCCTCTCCTTATTTTGTTCTTTTTATTCAGCATCACAGTTGATTTGCATGAACTCTACTTATCTTGCTGCTCTTATTGTTTTTCTGTATTTCTCTTTGATTTTCTTTTCTTTCAGTGGAGCAGAGCGCCATCTTGTTGGCAGCTTGGGTCCCTGAGCTCAATAAGAGTAAGAGCACCAGGACACGACTGTAGATGGCGCCGTATCGCTGTGAGTATTGGCGTGTTGTACCTGAGGTGAGGAGGTGGTGGCACCCCTGGGTGCTCCTCAGTGACCTCTGCTCACCTCCTCTGGTTTAGTTTAGCTAGCTTCATGTTGGACAGAATATTTCACTGACTTGTGGTGTTCAGACTCTTTTGAGCTAATTGTAATAAACAGTATTTTAATTAATTACTGGTATTTGTGTTGATTTGATGATCAATGTTAAATGTTCTCCCAGCAGCTCTGGTCTCTTCCTGTCTGCTTATTTTTGATCATTTCAATAAAACATGTGGTTGATTTTAACGTCACGTCTGTGCTTCAGTAACCAGCCTTGTGTGGCCCTGAACTCAACTCCTTTTTTAAGGTTCTTGAAAGTGTTTCCTGAGGTGTCGCTCCCTCAGGTGCTGGTGTCTGTGTTCTTCCTACTTTTTCCACTTATTGCCCTCGACACATTTGATACAGGGCTTTAAACAAATGTATATTAAGCTCCAGGGCTACTCATGAAATGCTTCGGACGCTCACTGGTTTGGTGACGGGGCTGGTTCTCCTCTTCTGATAGAGTCGACTCTGGAGCTCAAATGTGAGAATAATTATAATGATTATAATAATGATGCTTTTCATGATAAAAAATTACAAAGTACTTCACAAAAATACAACATTAGAAGATGATGAAATAAACCACTTGAGTAAAATAGGTGAAAAATAACAAAAGTTAAAGTTAAAGGGTCTTTGTATATAAACAGGTTTTAAGAAGTGAGTTCCAGATAAGTGAGCTCACACCATGAACCCTGAGAGCACATTTATAAAGTGTTTTTAAGGGGATTTGACCAAAGATAAGGGACTCCTCAGAGAGCGGGGCCCAAACAAACTGTCAGCCTCACTTCTCAGCTGAGCCTTGGCTCAGGGCCTCAGGTTACGACTGGGCACACAGTCAGATATATTATATAAACTAGTCCATACCCACTGAGTGCACAGTTGCCCACATACAGTTTCACATGGTGTGTGTTTGGGATACAGGTCATAGGAAATTGCAGATTAAATAGTCAACTGAAGCCATTAAGAAGAGCAATGTATTCAGACAGAGTGTTTGTGAGTTTGATAGTACGATTGCTTTATTGAAAGTACAGTAGTACCATTGCCAATAGTGGGATAGTTAGTGGGCTAAAACTGTACATTAGTAGTTGAGGCAGCACGTTGAAAGGCAGATAGTTAAAGTGTTTATATGTTGTATTGACTTCAAAGTGGGCGCACTGGTAGTTCACATGTTGCAGCAGCATACCATACCATGACTTAGTCATACCAAACATTAGAAAACACCAACATTGGTCCACAGGGGGAGCCACAGCGATCGGTCACATTTTAGCCATTTTGAAGCATTTTTCTGTTGTTATAGCGCCACCCAGTTGCCAATTAGAGTTAAATTTCTCCAGTCACCTTGAGGCGTCCTGTTCTACATATCTACCAAGTTTAGTAAAAATCCATATGGCGGTTAGGCCTAGATAAGAAATGAGCTCTCTAGCGCCCCCATTTTGTTTGATGGGGTCAATAATGGAGGGGTCCCCTCAGATTATGTGTGGTCATATGCCTACAAAGTTGCGTGGTGATGGGTGAAACCCTTGAGATGTTATACACCTTTATGTGATGAGCCACGCCCTCCGCAATATTCATTGCCTTATAGAAGCTCAGTTTTAGTAAGTTTTCCAACTTTTGCCAAGAGGGAACTTTAGATATTGGTCCCTAGATTATGTTCACCCAGTTTCATGCAGATCGCTCAAACTTCCTAGGAAGAGATCCATTTGAAGTGTTTTTCAAAAAATTCAAAATGGCGGAAAATCTATATAAGCGGAAGTTATGGGTTCTTGAGGCAAATGTGTTCCTCATGAGGAGAGGCATCTCTGTGCAAAGTTTCATGTCTCTACGACATACGGGGCATGAGATATGCCCATTCAAAGTTTGACATTTCAATGGGTTGCTATAGCGCCCCCCTTTGGCCAATTGATGTAATATTGCTTCATTGGCATCCTCCCATGACCCTCTACCACTGTGCCAAATTTCACATGGATTGACCAAGTCAGTGAGGAGAAAAACATGGAACACACACACACACACACACACACACAGAGTTTTCATCATTATATAGTAAGATAATCTACAGACACATTAGTTTCTGTCTCAGTGAACCAGTTAAACCAGTTCACTCAGGAGGTAAAAATCCAGTCAGTGGATCTGTGTTTGGGAGCGACGACATTTCAGCAGCTTGAAACATTTAAAATCCTGTCACAGTGTGGAAACATGAACCTGCAAAAAGGTAAATAAACCACCTGTAGAATCAAACAACACGTGTTTGTGTCTCAGGACATTTTGTCCCTCAGCGTCTCTGTCCAGCAGCATCACAGGCTGAAGTCAAATATCAGCTGTCTGTCATGATTTCACCCACAAGATGGCTGCTCTGTTCAGAAGCTCTCCACATATATGGACCACTGATGGAGCTGCAGTTACAAGTGTGGCCACTAGATGTCGGTGTACAGCACACAGCAGGACGTTGAATCACTCAAAATGTCTTAAATATGAAGCCTCATTAAACAGCCTTAAATGTGACATTTTATGTGACTGACTCTTGTCAGACTGAGTCAGGCTCCTCTGCATGAAGTCCACAGATCTTTAACCCTCCGCTGACTCCAACACTCGCTTTAGACTTGGACTGAACGTGTCGGCAAACTCTCTCTAATCACCATGTTCCTGCATAAAACCTTCCTCTGCGTGAGAGCTCACATTTATACTCACCTGCACTGCTTGAATAAGAGATGGTTTGTCCAATAATCAGTCTGAAATATCTTTAAAAATTATCATGAAAAGTTACTAAAACAAAGCTTAACATGTAAGTGCCTGATGGCCGTACACACCACAGACTGGGTGAAATAATGGAGTTGCCACCGTGATTTGTGGACTCTGCTTTGAAGCCTCTAGTTTGGCAATCTAGCCGTCGCCATCTTGAATTTTCGGAGCCAGAAGTGACCATATTTGAGAAGCGAGGGAGTGATCACAGACGGTACAGTTGTCTTGAGACCAAATCGGTTTTTGTTTCAGGCTGTCCTGGATGGGTCCCTCAAGAAAAAGGTTTGGAGCCACTGTGTTGAGGCATTTACTGCAATGACAGAGATGTACAGTGGTAACATGCTACGGTTTCTATGACAACCAAGTTGTCCTCAAGTCTTTAATGGATGGGTTAACTAACTTTAAGGGATTCCTCAGCTACATGTAGACCTTATGTCACTGGGATTTGCAGTATTGGCGATTGATGTGAGTCCTTCGTTCGGCTCCAAAATGGCGACAGACTGTTATCTGCACGACGCAGAGGATGAAACATCTCACTGTTGCAAGCGTGAAATCTGGTCTACGTGTGAACGTTCAGTCAACGTCTTAGAATAATCGGAAAGACTTTTGAACCAGTTCTAAACACTTTGTCACCACAGTGGTTTTCAGGTGTCTGTGAATTCAACACTTGTAGTATTTTTAATATAAATGTCATGAAGGAGGAACTCTGCAGTCTGTGTGCTTCAGTTTCTGATCCGTACGTTCATCATTCAGGGAAAATAACTTGTGTTAGTGCTGTAAGGTGCACAGCTGCTTCGCTGTGACACTCGACCAGCTCAAATGTAGGGATGTCTTATGGTTAAAGGCTGAATGTGTGAATATGACTTGGTATGTAACGTGTGTGCTGTTATTGCTGTCATCCTGAACACAGAGCCACTTGTACAGTCAGAGGCCGAACACATGCTGCAGCACTGACCACCTGGAGAACCCGAGGTCCGGCTGTAGTTCTTATTTTGTGTCAGCTCTCATGAGGTTGGCTGGTCCTCGTCACATGACGTGTGGTGCACGCTGCTGCAACTTTCAGAGTCAGATGGTTAAAAGAATGTATCTCTAAACCTCATTTGGTACCACATCCCAAACCAGCGATCTGATCGGGCTGGAGGTCTGATCTTCCTTCTCAAGGGTGATTTTAAAGTGTCCAAAATAAAGTTATCCATCTTCCACAAACAAGCCTTAATGTTTTGGAAAATGTTTTTTACCCACAATTCCATTTTATGGAACAATAGGGTCGTCACTATAAACAGAAAATGAAAATAATGTAAAATGTGTCTGTGATTGGTTGAATCCAGATGGTCAGTTGTATCCTTTGAAGACTGGAAAGGAAAAGAAAAGGATATGACACAATCTGTAAAGCGATTCCTATTCTTACTTTGTTTGACGCAGTTTTCTGTGATTTCGCCTTTGTTGTCTTCTCTTAAAGTTGGTGGGGTTCATTTATTGGACAGAAAATGTGACAACAAATCAGTTAGTTTGGTCTTTAAACACATAAATTGGGGAGACTTTAATTCATGCTCTGTACGGGACAATATGAGGAACTCTTTAAGGAAAACATCTTTTTCTTTTTATCTTTCACCTCCTGTTGCTCCTAAAGTAAAGCATTATTATCACAGCAATACACCCTGCTAACAATCTCAGTTTGATGTGGATCCTTGTATCGTTGTTCAGCTGAAGTTGAATCTGTTGACCTTTTATTTTGGTCTGACACTCACAGCTTGTTGTCCCTGAAAATCGACAACATACCTTCACTTGCTTTAAATGACATAATTTATTATATGGACAACTTGGACACTAATTTTTCTGATATTATTAATCTTGTGATTATTTGTGGTAAATATGATATACACTGTTGTAAATGGAATGAAAGCAGTCCCTCCTTCACTGCGTTCATCTATTCCTTTATCAACTGTTTTGTCACTGAAAAAGGTTGAAAAAGTTAACAAAACAGATCATAGCTGTCTCTCAGTCGTTGCTCTGTTGTGCCTTTGTTCCTTTTTTATTTTGTTTTGTTCTATCTAGTAAACTTATATTGTTGTTTTCCCTGTGCCTAAACATATTGTTTAATATCTTTGAAGAATTCCATATATGTCTTCTCCATCTGAGATGTTGCAGTTGTATCCTTGTTTTACTCCCTGTCTTGTTTGTATATTCTTTGTTTATTTATTTATTGTGAAGTATTTGAAACACTGTCCCAACACATATCGTGTGCACTCAGAGCCCTTTGAAGCCTTTAATCTTTTCTGAACGTTTATTTTTTACCAGAAAAATCTTCCCCTTGGCTCCAACTCAAATGGTGTTGGGTTACAATATCCGAGCTTTCCTGCCGGTCCCTGAACGCACCTTAAGCTGTGTTTATTCTGTGTCTCAGGAACATGGTGAGTGTTAGGACCCTGAAGCCTGTGTGTGTGTGTGTGTGTGTGTGTGTGTGTGGGAGTGTGTGCGTGTGTGTGTGTGTGTGTGTGTGTGTGTTGGGCGGAGCTGATGATGCATTGAGAAAGAACGTGGATCTCTGTTCAACTGGTTTTGCTGGTGCCTTCCTGCTGCCTGAATATCTGCGTGTGTGTGTGCCTCTCCCTCCTCAGTGTGTGTTCAGCTCTCTGTCCGCTTCTCCTCTTCCTCACAACTCACAGTAAGTAACAACAAACCTGATGTGTCTCATGTTTTTAACAGAGTTTTAGTATAAACGTCTGAGGTGTGTGTTCATGTGTGTGTGTGTGTGTGTGTGTGTGTGTGTGTGTGCGTGTGTGTGTGTGCTGAAACCTGACACTGTGTACATCATGTGAAGGTAAAGAGTTTGCATGTGTGTCCAGGTGGAAAGTCCATGAAGAAGGAGACAGTGATACACTCAGAGACACTCAGAGACACTCAGGGACAGTGAGACACTCAGGGACAGTGAGACAGGGACCCAGTGCTGAGCTCCTGGTTGAGTTAGATAAGGAGTGGCTGCTTCAGCAGACAGGCTGAGGGACGGAGGAAGTGTCAACAGCTGTTAGTGGAGTTAAAGCACCACACTGTGATGACTGAAGGATTAGAAGCAACATGTTGTTAAGTTTCCAAAGTTAAAGTATCATCAGCCAGAGAAGCTCCTGAGTCACATCTGTGTCATGTCTGGATCAATATCACAGAGCCATGTTGTCGCTGTGTTAACGACTTTTCCCTCGACCTGCAAAGGAAAAATAATGAAAAATTAATGAAAAATAATGAAAAATAATGAAAATTAATGAAAAATAATGAAAAATTAATGAAAAAGTTCTTGATAACATTTAATAACTTCGTGCTTTCAGGCTTTTTGACAGTTGGACCGACATGACGAGACGTCTGGTACCATGACTTTGGGCTACAGGATATTGTGAGGGGCAGTTTTCACTGTCAGCTGAAGTCTTAAAGATCAAACTATTGATCGATTAATTAAGACAGTAGTCTGCAGATTGATCATTAATAAGCTCAATATACTGTTGGGTAGTTTAATCTTTAATTACACATCATATTTTATTAACTTTTAGACGTATACAATGCTTTGTATGACATCTCATTGATTAGCGCCCCCACTGGTTAGGGTTAGGAGAAGAGTCATGGTCGGGTATTGTCATGTTACATACTTCACGTAAAGTTATGACCTTAATGTAAAGTAACGTGGGTTAGATTTAGTAGAAGCATCATAGTTAGGTCTGTCACGTTATCTACTGAATGTAAGGTTACGAAGGCTACTTAACATAAAGTTACGAAAGTATAGGAAAATAAACATGGTTGGATGTTATCATGTCACGGACTTAACGTAACGTTACAAAGGTTAGGTTTAGGAAAAGACACATGCTTTGGCGTTGTTCCACATGTTACATACTTAACGTAATTTCATGTAGCCTTAGTTCAGGAAATGTTACGTAGGTGAGTTGTAGGAAAGTAAAGTTCCGTAGGTTTAGGAACAGAAACATGGTTGGGCGTCATCATGTTACATACTTAACGTAATGTTGCGTAGTTTTGATTTAGCAAAGTAAAGTTACGTAGGTTCAGCTTAGGAAATTTAAGTTACATAAGTTTTAGGAAAAGAAACGTTTCATGGTTGGGCATTGTTCCGTTACATACTTAGCTAACATTATGTAGTTTTGACTCAGGAAAGTAACACTACATAGGTTAGCTTTAGGAAAGTAAAGCTACATAGTTTTGGTTTAAGAAAGTTACGTAGGTTTCACAAGGGAAAACAAAATTACATAAGTTTAGGAAAAGAAACATGGTTGGGCATTATTACGTCTCGAACTTAACGTAATGTTAATGTTTTTGTTTAGGAAAGTGACGTTATGCTAGTTTTAGCAAAGTGAACACATGTAGGTCGGGTTTAGGTAAGTAAAAGTACATGGGCTTATGAAAAGAAACACAATTGGGCGTCACCATGTTACGTACTTTACGTAAAGCAGTGACCTCAGTGTAAAGTTACGTAGGTTAGGTTTCTTGGGTCAGATTTTATTTCTGGTGTTTAAATATTGCTAATTCCTTACTGTCTCTTTCTCTGTCAGGCAGACGGCAAGATGTCGTGGTTATCAGGCTTAGTCGGCGGCATCATCAAAGCTGTCGTGGAGTAAGCACTCACACCATCTTATTTCTTTCCTCTTTTAATGGAGTTAGGCAGCGCTAACAGTTTCCCTCTGCTTCCAGTCTTTGTGCTAAGCTAAGCTAACCTAGATGCATATATTGATCTTTTCAAATCTGCTCTCTGACTCATGTTTTCTTTTTTGTTCCCCTGACAGTAACATCGACGCCGATACTTTTCAGAGCTCAGACCCTGTAAGTACCAACATCAGCAAACGTCACATGTTAAATCCAAATAAGCCACGTACTTGTGTATTATTATTATGTGTTGGGCCTTCCCAAACAAACGTTTAGCAGATCACACATTCGATGGTGCACCAGCCCAGGCACCAGAATAAATGTTGGCATTGGACAATTCTGCAAAACACTCGCACTTTTCATTGGTGTGATAGAAACATGTCTAAAGTGACATAGTGTATGATGTGGGAGGTGGAGGGGATGGTCGGGGGCTTGTCACCTCGCTGCAGATGACCGATCAAGACCAACAAAACTGGTTGTATTTTAGCACGGCTGTGTTTCCAGCAGATATTTTAGCCACCAGACGTGCGTGTAGCGTTTTTTAAGCCAAACATCGACGGCATTTCCAGCGACAACTGCACGACCAGAATCAGGTGTTTTTTAGTGAGGAATTGGCGGCTTGTCCAGCGAGGATTGTGCCACCAACAGCAGGTATTTTAGGCCATGACATGATGTTTTCCAACCATAACCAAGTGTTTTTTTTAGCCCAACCCAACTGCACGCTTAGCACAGCGTTGTTGGAACATAAAGTCTCAACACATCTGCTGCATCATGACATTTTAAGGTATTTGTGTTTTGCAGAAACGTACAATGCCAACACTTGTCCTTGCAGTCAGGTTGCATATGCTTCAAGTTTGTTCTTAAAAATGTCTCATTTATCTCTTCAGACCCAAATGTCTCACGGTGTCAGCTAAGAAAATACACAATAAGTGTAAACCAATGTAGTACAACAGACATTGATTAAACCTGTGTATCTAATTAATCATGTGTTCACCTGAGAGTTATTTGATCTGATGGTGTCCTCATTAAACCGTGGAAATCTGTATGAATGAGGTTTAACTCGACCTCATTACAGACACTCAGATTTCTCCCAGTGGAAGATTTCATAAGCAAACAAACACACTCACACACATTCCTCTGTCTAACAGTAGCTTGTTGTGTGTGTTCGCAGCCTCCTCGCAGACCGGTTCAATTCGCAGAGGCTCATGAGAGCGAAGAGGAGAAACAGTTTCGGAGAGTTTTCAAGCAGCTGGCTGGAGATGTGAGTCTGTCATATGTGCATATTCACTCGTCTTGTTTGTTCCCTCTGCTCTGTGTTTACACTCCAGTTCACTCCCAGTTTGACTGTTTCTTTATTGTGGTTTATCCCAGTTAATCTGAGGTTCCCACCCATTTCCTATTTATTCTCCCAGCACATAAATAAGCCTCCATACTGAGGTGCTCCTGTGTTTCATTTTAGTTTCTTATTAAATGAAATAAATAGTTACAGCTCAGGAACAAGTCTTGTTCTGCTGACGACTGTAAATCACTGATGATGGACTGGACTGCTCACCTACCTGACCAAATCAAACCTCGACATGTTGTTGGAGGTCACAGTCTGAGGGTCACATGACCGCGGGCCTCACAACACACCACAGAGACTTTTGGTCTCTTCTGTAATTACAGTATAACGAGCTGTTTACATCAGTCTGGCTCCTTTTGTTCAGCCGTTCATGTTTTCTCTGATCTCATCAGGCAGCAAACCAGCCATATGTTACATTTGTACTTTTCATGCTTTTCATATCAACGTCTCACATCAGATGATTACGTGTACACGGGCTGACGTTGTCATGGGGAGGTGGAGGGGATGGCGGATGGTGTGTCACCTAGGTAACATGGCTGCTAGGCTGCAGACACTGTTTGAGACCAACAAACAACAAATCTGGGTGTTTTTAAGCGAGACATGAAACAGCATTTCCAGCAGTGACTGTGGCACCAAGTGCAGGTGTTTTTCAGGGAGACATCGGTGGCTTCTCCAGCGGCACTTGTGCCACAGAAACAAAATGTTTTTTAAGCAAAACATGGTGGTATTTCCAGCAGCGAGTGTGCAACCGAAATCAGGTGATTCTTAGTGAGCCATCGGCAGCATTTCCAGCAGCAGTTTTGGCACCGAAATTAGTCCAAAAACATCACAGTACAACCAAAATCAGGTGATTCTTAGTTCGGCATTGGCGGCACTTCCAGCAGTGATTGTGGCACCAAAATCAGGTGTTTTAAGCCACAACGTGATCTTTTCCTGACCAAAACCAAGTGGTTTTTGTACCTAAACAGAAGCACTAATTAACCAAAGCATTGTGCAGATGTTACACATCTGTGGTTTGCAGAAACATTCGTGCACTGGACTCCATGAAGAACCGAGACAGTTGAGAAATACGGAGGTTACGTTCAAGTGTTTTACGACAGGTAGCTTGCAGGTGTGACTGAACTCAAATCAATGGACTAAATTTGTTTCTTTTACTTTGAGTCACGGATGAAAAGAGACTTTATGAACTAGTATTTTCCGATCTGAGGAGAACGTTTGTAAAAGAGTCTCTCCAGTTTCTGTCTGATGAAAGTGTGTCTTCTGTTCTTGGATGTTTGCATATGTTACATTTTAATGAGGTGATCTCAGTCAGTCGTGACTCTCCACACCTCAGTCTCTGTTTGATCTGAGGGAAGGTTCCTTTCTCGCCGCACCCTGTTTCAGGTGTGTCTTGTTTCCCTCAATGGAGAACGGTGCTCAACTGAAATGTTGACCTGATGCGGCTCAGCAAGTTCTTAAAAGTCTGTTCTGCTTTTCGCCTGATTCCTCATCACCTCCACACACCTGTCTGTCTGCCGTCGGCTGCATTCCAAACTCCACCCTCTACTGTCCCATCCTCTCTGTCTCTTTGTTTGGTTCACCATCACACCCGGCAGGTTCTGTAGCTTCTACAGGTTCTCAAGTATTCACAGGATGAATCTGAAACAAACACAAAACTGCAGAATTTTAACATCACTTGGTGTCGCCCTCCAAACTGAACTTCAGCCACGAGCCTTCAATTACTTTCAACTTTACTATAATTAGATGTCACCTGTTAATGTTCCTCCCTGCTAGCAAAACATGAACTGCTGCATCTGGGCCAACAATCTAGCTCATAATCAGATTTGATTTTAGAGCGTCAGAACAGACGTTTTCCTCCTCGTCATATCAGCGTTTCCTGTTTCAGTACAGCTGATGGTGAGGTCAGGCGTCGTCTCTCTGTGTTTCTGCTGTCAGACACAATCAAGTCAAACAGGTTGCTCCTGTGTGATTCCCTCCGTCAGCATAAGGCAACAAAGATGAGCAGAGAAACCTGCAGACAGGAAGTGGAATTTATTTTCACCTTTAAAATTGTAAATGTTGATACTCAAATTTGAGGCCTTGAAGGATTCAATGCTGATTGCTTTTGACTTTGCGTTACAGTATGATCTTGATGCTGCTAACTTTGTCCTGAAATTATAGCTCACTACATGTTAGGTTCACAGTGAAACTCTGCAGAGATAAACAGTGAAAGTGTTTTATTGTGTCGTCTGATAAATGTTGGAGCAGCAGAGGCAGCTTCAGGGCGGCTCGGAGACAGAGAGCTCTTTCTCTGCATTCCTGCCATTGTTTGGCAGGGCGGCACTCGAGCCTGCGGGGCGTTGGACTGTGTGTGTGTGTGTGTGTGTGTGTGTGTGTGTGTGTGTGTGTCTGAGGTTTTCTCTGACTCATCAGAGGGGTGTGTGCACCAGTTCTACCAGAACTCAGTTGGCTTGTCGGTCGGTGGATTCTCTAAACTAACAGCAGTAATAAGGGTGATGATGATGAGGAGGATGAAGATGGTGTAGTAAAGTGCCTCCACCCACCTGGCTGAGCTCTGAGTGGGTGGGGATCAGGCGGCCTGTCAAGTCTTTTCTGGAAACTTCCTGTTCTGTTTTAAAGGAACAAACTCCAGTTCTGAAAGTTAGAAAAGATAAACACTGGATTGGGAGGAGAGGCTTTTAGTTCACGCGCTGAAACACTTTTGTTTTTGCTCCCAGAATTCGTGATTAAAGATTGAACACGTTTTCTTACTTCTCTCAGATTTTGGTCTCATCATTCCTCTCAGTTCACTGATGAAGAGTTTCCTCCCTCGTCTGTCTCGTGCCGTCCTCTCCAGCTGTTCCCATGTCAGTCCCTTTAGTTTGAACTCTTGCTGTTGTTTCTTCTCAGAGCCGATACAGCTCCGCTTCCTCCTGTTCAGCTGTGCTTCTCTTGTCTCATTTGCTGCTTGGTCGTGGTCTTCCAGGTTTGGTGTCCAGTTGATTGAGCTGATTTTGAGCTCAGTCTTGAGTGAAATGTTTCAGGATTTCTTGTTTAGGATGTTAAATGCTGTTTATGCTTATCTGATTCTTGTCTTTACGACCTCTCCTGTCCCACCATCCACAGCGATTACACTCCCCAGGTATCTGAACTGGTCGCCCTCTCCCAGAGACAGACAGCTCCCCGACTTTTCATGCTTTTGTTATTGGTCCGCATGATTTTGGTTTTTGTTCCATTTATTTTGAGTCCAAGCTCGGCTGCAGTTGTTTCTGCTGGTGGATATGTGAGAGGATTTCATGCATGCGTCAGTGAGCATTTCTCCTTCACCAAAACAATTCCTCAATCTGACAGGGATGGTCACTGAAAAAGGCCTCTCTAAAAATGTCGGCAGCCGGACGTCCCATCCTTGTGAACGCAATATCTCAAGAACACCTCGAGAGAATTTCTTTAAATTTAGTACAAACGTTCACATGAACTGAAGAGTAAACTGAGTAGAATGTAGTGATCGAAGGTCAAAGGTCAAGGTCAGTGTGACCTCACAAAATATATTTTGGCCATAGCTCAAATTCACACGTTAATAATGATGAAACACTTGGACATTTGGTCAGATACTGAATTGGTGACTCTAATCTTGAAACTGTGCTGATTGTATAGATCTTCTGTGTATGAAGCATCCATGTTTTCACTGACATGGATGGAGACTGTCAGAGACACTGGACTGGTGGGCGGAGTCATACAACCACAGGGTGGACTGGTGGGCGGAGTCATACAACCACAGGGTGGACTGGTGGGAGGAGTCATACAACCACAGGGTGGACTGGTGGGCGGAGTCATACAACCACAGGGTGGACTGGTGGGCGGAGTCATACAACCACAGGGTGGACTGGTGGGCGGAGTCAAACAACCACAGGGTGGACTGGTGGGCGGAGTCAAACAACCACAGGGTGGACTGGTGGGCGGAGTCATACAACCACAGGGTGGTGATTCTAGTGTTACCCATGTGTAGGCGCTGTTACATAAAGAAACCACTTTAGATACCTGATCATGTCCTGTTTTGGTGTATATCTGATCAGCTGTGTTTCATAGAGGTCACATCAGTAATAAATAATTTCATGGACGTGACAAAAATGTTTTGTTCTTTATCAGAATCATAAACAAAAGGTTTGAACTTCCTCCTGAACATGCGAATAAATATTCATCTTCACCCAACGACACTCTCGGCCGTCTGATTCCAGTTGTGTTCATCTTCACTCACACGAAATATTTGTGTTACAGTTTGAAATAAGTGAAGAAAGCCTGAGAGTCCAGAGATAGCTCAGTGTTGCCTCACAGTGTTTTGTTTTGGCAACAGAGAGACAATCTGAGAGTTGCTATGGGGGGGGGGGGCAGCTGTGAGTCAGAAGAAGGAAAACTATCAGAGGAAATAAAAGGAAACAGCTTTAGTGTGGTTTGAGTCACACTCACATCAGCTGTGACTCACTGTGTTTGTGGGGCTTCCTCTGTGGAGGAAAACAGAACATGAACAGCCTTTCTCCTGTGTGTGTGTGTGTGTGTGTGTGTGTGTGTGTGTGTGTTTTAACAGGACATGGAGGTCAGCCCCAAGGAGCTGATGGACATCCTCAACAGAATCATCTCCAAACGTGAGTCTGCTTCTTTGTTATGCCTCTGTGACAGTTTTCCGTCCGTCCTTGTGAACACGATCTCTCAAGAACGCCTTGAAGGAATTTCTTTAAATTTGGCACAAACGTCCACGTGGACTGAAGAATAAACTGATCAGAATTCGGTGGTTGAAGGTCAAAGGTCAGTGTGACTGCATGTCATTATAACTCGCTAATCAAGACAAAATTTTCAGAGAAATTGATGAAGTGATGATATTTTCTATCCAAAAGGTCAAAGGTCAGCTTCACTGTGACATCATCATGTTTTCACAGACATGGATGGAAACTGTCTGGTGCACGGAGGCGTGCAGCTGCGGGGCAGTAAATCCAATTCATAGTTAATGGAGGTGTTTCTGTGCAGAGATGGGAAAAACGACTTCACCCGTATTTTATTTGGCTTTAATACCTCTGTGGTCGTCGCAGCGTGTCATCATCACTGCGCCTCAAGTTCTCAGAACAGACTTTGTGTCCTTACGTGCTCATTGGTTCCCTGATCGGGGGGATGAGGGGAGTGACAATAAAAATGAAACCAAGGCAGAAGACAGCAGGCAGAGATAAGAAAAGTTTGGGATGTATGTTACAAAAACAACAAGGAAATAACTGTGCACATAAACGTCTCATTCATGGAACGTGAGCAGAATGAATTTGTGTGTATTTCTTCACCTGCCTCTGACTGCTCCTAGTGCCTGTGTTGATATTAGACATAAATATTGATTGTTATTATTAGAAATGATAGTTTTATTCCAATTGGGCTCTGTGATGTCACAACACACAGACGACTTTAGAACACGAAAATTAAACATGACAGAAGATTATAAATATAAAATATAAAACACATTTAGATAAATTAGTTGGCATTTAGCAGATTAAAGCTTCAGATTAGGTTTCTTAAAAATATAAATGAGTTATTTAAATCGACTTCAGATATGTGTTTTCTACATGTCTGACATCCCTTTGATCCAATCAGGAGAGAGACCTCAACAGGTGTATCTGCAGTTTGGGTGGTGAGACTGTGAGACCCATGTTACTGAGCTGTCAGTGATGATGTCAAAACGTACAGATATTAACACTTAATATAACACGTACATCACCGAACCTTCTGAGTTCGATACTGACGGCTCCAGTGGAGGCGTGTCGCTGTCTCCCCTGACAGAAGCGTGTGTGTGTACGTGCGTGTTTTTTTTGCATCAAATTTTAAATCAAACCTTTTTCATTTAACCTCCTGGAAGGTTCTTACAGCAGAGGACACGGAGTTAACGGCCTTTGGTGCACCTGTCCCTGTCACACACTGCTAGAAGTAAAGAAATAAAGAATAAATTACCAATTCAATGACTAAAATTAACAACCAAGCAACCCCCCTCCAGACAGGAGTGAAGATCGCTGGACACCAGTAAAGCAAATGTCACCTGTGGCACCATGACACACCTGTGCAGTATCTCTTCCTGATGTGTTTTATTTAACGGCTGAATGCTTGTTTCAGATGGAGGCCTGAAGACTGACGGCTTCAGCATCGAGTCCTGCAGGAGCATGGTCGCTGTCATGGATGTATCCTTTCACCAAGTCTGGTCCTGATGCCACACAGCACCAGTGATACTGAGTGCACTGCATGTCAGGAGCAGCAGTAGGGCTAGGACTTGTTGTACAGCCCAGTCGTTACAGGAAAATGTTTGCACTGTACGTTTCTGCAAACCACGAAAAACATGACACTTCTTTGTTTCATACGTCTCATCTTCTAAAGTGACGTAGAGTATGGGCTGACTCTGTCGACAGGAGGTGGAGGGTGTGACACCACAAACAAGAACAGAACCAGTTGTGATTCAGCAACCTGTCGCTGTGTTTGCAGCGTTTTTTTAGGCACCAAACTGATTGTGATTTAATGGGTCGCCCTGACACACCAAGCCGACAGTCGGCCGTCGACCAAAGTCGGGCCGTCAGTGAGCGTCTGTCGCCCTAGTTTTTGCGGTGTGTCCCGCACCGTCAGCACTTTGGCGTTGGCGGCTTTTCGGCTGATTGAGCATGTTGAATCGGCGGCGGAGCTTGTCGGTGAGAGAGATCACTCTGATTGGCTGTTCAGGTTTTATTTCTTCGCCCCTGTAGCGAGTGAATCTGCCTGTAGTGAAACCGGGGCTAACCGGTGCTTCCTCCTCAGGCTCCACTTCACTCAGCTGCCCCACAGACCCGCTGCTTCTTCACACTTTAACCTGAATAACAAACCGGAGCTAGCTGGGAGCGGCTAGCGGAGCGTTAGCCGCAGCATGACAGGAGGGAAGCACAGCCAGTTAGCCTCCGCTAGTCTCTGAGCTAGCCCCGGCTCTCCGTTTGGATCCAACCGGAGCACCGAGCCCTGGTTTGTTATTCAGGTTAAAGTGGGAAGAAGCAGCGGGTTTATCGGGCAGCTGAGTGAAGTGGAGCCTGAGGAGGAAACACCGGGACCGTCTGGATGTAATAGTCCGTGGAGGTGCTGCGGTGCTCGGCTGCACAGATAGGAAACCCCTCGGCTGACAGGATGTACCACTCTCTCACTCCGCTCTCTCTCACGCAGGCGCAGAACGTACGTGCTACTTGGCCGTCAGATGTAGTCCGTGTAGTGTGTTCAAATGCAACTGACACAGGGCGACGTGAGGCGACGTAGACGACACAACAGTTGGCTTTCGTAGCCGCTAGTTCTTTGATGTCGGTTTGGTGTGTCAGCACCTTAAAACATGATCTTTTTCTAACCTGAAACAGGTGGTTTTTGTGCTGAATCACATGTTAACCACAGTGTTATTAGAACGGAAAGTTTCAACATATCAGCTGCATAATAAGGTGCAACTGTAACGTACCTGTGGTTTGCAGAAAACGTACAATGCCAACATTTTCCTGGCTGTTGGGTCGAGTAGAAACAAGAGAGTAGCTGTAGTGCTAGTAGAGGGTCCAGCAGTAAATTTAGGAGTGGAGGCAGCAGTATTAAACACAGTGCTGGTGCTAATGGTAGAGGAAGCAGTACTAACTGCAGCAGGTGTGTCTTTAGGGGCCGCACACATGCGTCATTGTGTCGTTGTGTTCTCTGCTCTGGTTTGTGTGTTTGACCTTTGACCTGACTCCCTTCAGAGCGACAGCACAGGGAAACTGGGCTTCCACGAGTTCAAGTTCATGTGGAACAACATCAAGAAGTGGCAGGTGAGCTCACGGCTTCCATGTGTGCAGATCAGTTTTACAAGCTCATAGTCAGGCTGCTGTTTGGCTCGTGTTGAGGGTTCGATTCCCTGCGACAGTCAGTAGATACACCGACACAAACCAACAAACATTGATGTTGTTCTGTTTGTTTGTTGTGTGTCGTCTCCAGGGCGTCTATTTACAGTATGACAGAGATGGTTCAGGTACAATCTGCTCCCGAGAACTGCCGGGTGCCTTCCAGGCTGCAGGTGAGAAACACTCTGCGTGTGTGTGTGTGTGTGTGTGTGTGTGTGTGTGTGTGACATTTCAGACGAACTCTGTTTGCCGTGTGTTTGCAGGTTTCCCTCTGAATGAACAACTCTTAAAGCTGATTGGCCGTCGCTATAGCGATGACCACGGCGACATGGACTTTGACAATTTCGTTGGCTGCCTGGTGCGACTGGACGCCATGTGCAGTGAGTCTCTCTCTCTCTCTCTCTCTGCTCCTCTTCACCTTCCTCACCTCATTCATGCATCATTTTAGACAAAAATCAGCCCAACGTCTTTTTAACCTCTGAAACGGTAAAAACGTGGCTGCGAGCAGCAGCTGACGGGTCACGACACCTGAGTGTAAGATAACAGGTTTAATAACGATCAGACACGACGCTTCCGTGACTTCATTAAAAATATCCACAGAGTTTGTGACAAACTGTCAGTGATGTAAGTTTTGTTGAGTGAGAATAATTATACTCGCATCACGTGGCGTTCAGACGACAGCGTACATGAGGAAAAAGTAACGGCTGCACGCTCACTCCAGGCCCGAGGGGCGGAGCAGCAGAGTTTGTGCCGCCTGCTCGTCCTCTCTTGATCCGTGTCCTCCTCATGAACCTCTCTTGTCTTTTTGGGGAAAGACATAGATCTTCTGTGTGTGAACACACACATGGATGGAAACTGACTCTAGTTGTTTTTTGACCCTTCCCAGAACTACAAATATTTCACCATGACCCTCCCTCCTGCATGAATTAGATTTTTTTATTAGATTTTTAAAACGTACCCTGTGATGTGTGACAGGTGAACGTTAAAGATGAAATCCTGGAGTTGAAAAAAGCCTCTGTTTTTGGCTCTTGTCGTGCGGCTGGTTAGTTTGTGTATTTATTTATTTTGAATAAGTAGATTACGTATCAAAATTAATTCTGATGAAATATCACTATGTAAAGCTCAGACTTTCTTTGTGTGTTTATTTTTTTTACTGCGGGAAGTGTTCGTCACACAAGATGTGTTCGAGGACCGTCGGAAATCTATAAAATCCACTGATAATTTATCTTTTTAGTTCCTGGCTGTGACCAGTTAAAATCAAGAAGAAGAAAACATGTTTCACATGAAGCGAGGCGTGAAGTGTTTTCACTTAGTGCCGTCAGCTGCTCTTTAACACATCAGTATTCACTTGTTTAAATATTTATGTGACTCCTGTGTGTGTGTGTGTGTGTGTGTGTGTGTGTGTGTTCTGCAGGAGCCTTCAAGACCCTGGATAAGGACCATAGTGGCCACATCGACCTGGACATCAAGGAGGTAAAACACACTGCAGTTCACTTACTTTGGATGAACTCTCAGACATTAAGAGACAACTTGATCATTGTGCATTTGTCGCAGCACAGAGGGCGCTGGAAATACTAATTAAATGAAGTTAAACTAATGATCGTACTCTCCATAATAATGGTTGGTATTAGCTGTAAATACAGATGTAGGCAAAATAATTTTCCAAACCAGAAAAACTTCTTAGCTCGTGTGAGTCTGTCCCTTCAGCCTCTCACCAGAAGAAAATCCTGACATCACATCTTTCTGTGAATCACGTGAACTTGTTTATACGCATCATATCAACGTCTCTAAAGTCTGAGGTGTTGCCCAGTTGAGTCATCTGCCAAGCTGCAGACCAACAAACAGCAAAACCAGTTGTGAGTTAGTGAATCATTGCTGTTTGTCGAGCGGCTCATCAGCTCCCAAAGGTGGGCGGGGCTAGAGCTGCAAACAGCACTTGTTTTTTCCTGAGACCTTCCTGCACGTCCTGTCAGGCTCGTGTTCCCAACACTGGGTATTTCAAGCCAAACCTGATTCCTGACCTTAACCAAGTGGTGTTTGTGCCTAGACCTGACCACATGCTAATCACAGCAGCTTCAGGTTTCATAACGAGCTGATGATTTCAATCAGCTGTGTTGGAGCAGGGAGAGAAGTGAGACATGCAGGACACGTGGTGCTCCAGGAGAGCTTTGGGAAACGCTGCACTACGTAATAACAGATAGATGCAGCAAATAAATGATGAATTTTTTTCTGGCACTTGGGTTGATTTATTAGCTTGTTTGTTTGACCGCACAGTAACAACTGAAGACACACACGTCAGTGCATCAACACTTGTATCACGTCAGATCTTGTGTGTTCTGGATCATGGAGCCCAGGCAGTCACATCGATGGTGGACGAGATCTGACACCACGAGAGTGAGCAGGATGTGACTAAGTACTGCACTCCAGTACAAACTCTAAGTACTTGTACATATCGGGAATATTTCCACTTGACCACATGTCGGAGGGAAATATGGTACTTTTTAAATGCCCTACATTTGCAACTCAATCAGCAGAATTTTTTTTTTGGCATTGTACGTTTCTGCAAACCAGGAATGAGGTTATTATGTAGCTGATGGTTTCAGCACCGCTGTGGTTAACGTGAGGTTAGGCTCAGGCACAAACACAGCTTGGTTATCATGTTTGGGCTTAAAACACCCAGATGTGACGAGCACAGTCCACGCAGGAAACACAGTGATAGCTTAGTGAAAAACAACTGATTTTTTTGCTGCTTTCCCAGCATGCAACGAGTCACATGTTGCGAATACGATGACTGCAGGTTTTGTTGTTTGTTGGCGTTGAACAGTGGTCTGCAGCTTGGCAGGTGAAACACCGTCCACTGTCCCCTCCACCTGCTGATGACACAGTCAGCTCATGAACTCCGTCACTTTACAAACACTCAGTGTGTTTCCAGTCACAGTGAAGTGGAGCTCCAGTCCCAGCTGGACGAGGACATCTAACTGGCCTACTGTCCTTGTCCCAGTATACAAGCACGGGAGGGGAATCCATTTATTGAGCCAAGTATGTGCGACTCCTCTACGATAGGTGGAGATATGCCCCCTTTCAGCTTGTTAGTATTGGACCTTTTT